GTGGTCACAGAATATCCTGAGCTGGAAAGGACCCACAAGGACCATCAAAGTCCAGCTCCTGGCCCTGCCCAGGACACCCCAACAATGCCACCACGTGCCCGATCCTGCAGTGAAAACCCTTGTGATTTTTACCCCGTTTCTCCAGGGCAGTCACAGTGATTCATGGGTGTCATCAGGCATTTCATTTCCCTTCTTTTACTTCTGGGTGTGTTACTCAACCTCTAGAGTTCAAGACCTCCAGGTCTCTGTTCTCCTCCTCTCCAGGCTGTGCAGGTTTCCTGAGGCTGTGGCCAGCAGGTATAAATACACAGATCCTCCAGGAGAGCAGTTCAAATAGGGAAAGGAGGAATTAATCACAGGTTACTACGATTAGCGTGACTAATCCATGACTCTGGAGCCCCAGCAGAGCCACACAGGTCCCCAGAGCAGCACAAACACTGCTCAGCGTGGCTTCAACACGTGGCACTGGCACCAGCAGGTGGGAGGGAGAGCGTGGTGCTGCTCTGGGTGTGGAAATACTGAAGTTCACCTCGTCCAGGGCTGGGGAGAGGAGGATGAAGCTCAGCCTGGGCAGTTCTGCCCATGCAGGACTTCCTGCAGCTGGAGCAGCAGGTTCCCACGTGAGGGATGTGTCCCCCAGGAAGGCTGAAGGGTCCAGGTGGGCACAGTCCAGTGAGATAAGTGGGTGATCTTGGACTGCTGGAGGGGAGATGTTTGAGACTTGCTTGGGTTATGGGCACAGCAGTCTCCAGGCTCAAACCATCCCTGGGTGGTTCTTAGCTGTGCTGAAGGACATCAAGTAGGCTTGGCCTCCTGCCAGTGAAGTTATCTCCTGTCAGAATGGTCACTGAGGGCCATTCCTGTCATCCTGTGGTCCATGATGCCTGTTTTATTTGGGACAGCTTGGGGTTGGTGCTTGGAGAGCCCTGGCTGAGGATGTTCAGAGGTAGGGACGTGCTCCACTACATCCAGACATGGTTGTATCAGTGTAACATTCACACTGTCTTGAGCAATGAGTTAATGAACCAGCACAAAAGCAGTTGCCAGGCCAACCCAAAGCCAAACGTGTTCGTCTGGGAGATGCAGCCTGACAGCTTTTTAGGAGAAGTGGGTCTTGAGCAAACCTCACTGTGGATTTCTGTGATCCGGCTCTCCGGAGCTGCTCAGGGATTTGGGATCCCAAAACGTGTGGAGAGGGAAAGGCCCATGACTGGGAGCACTCATCTCCTGTAGGACCTTGGGCAATCCATGCCCACAGAGCAGCTCCATCTTCCTGTCCCACATCAGGCCCTGGTGAGGTCCGAGGGTGTGGCAGCAAAGGAGCATTTCTGAGCAGCAGGAGTTTGGTCTCACTGCTCCAGGAGGGAAGGGCTTGGCCATCACTGCCGGTGTGGGACAGCACTAAAGCTGGAATGTCCCTGGCTGCAGCATCCCCCACTGGCCTGGTGTCCCAGGGTGGGGTGGAGGCCAGGACAAGGCTTTACTGCTTCCACCAGGGCTGCTCATCAGCTTCCAGGCTCGTTCTGAAGCGGGATAATGGACTTGGGGCATCCCAAAATGGGTCCATCTCAGCACAGGCCGTGCTTGGGCACAGCTTAGTTGGTGTGGGCACCAGCCATGGAGGGGATGCTCCCTCTTCCCCCAGGTCCAGTTGCTGTTTCCATGCCCGAGCAGGACGAGGTGGGGCTGGAGAAAGGCTGCCCAGGCAGCTCAGTATAAATAACCTGGGCTAAGCCTCTCGGAGGCAGGGATGGGCTCAGGTCCTACTAGGCCACCGTGTCACCAGCTTGTGGCCCTGCTTGGGCACGATGCAGTGGGTCATTTCCATGGCACGTGTCACCCCAAGGACAAGTCTCCCTGCAGGGGGTGGGTCCCATGAAGATGTGATGGGGCTCGAACATGTCACCTGCATGGTTAGAGCAAAACTTTTAGGGCCATGTTGCTCCAGGGGTTCTCCATCCCACAGGGGAATTGTCCTGCCCTATCCATAGGCTCTGCTGTTGGAGGAGGGGTGCAGAGCTGTCTGTGTGGTCTGTTCTTGGTAGAAATTGGAATTAAAATTCTTCCAGCCTGAAGGAATAGATGTGACGTGGTAGGTCCGGACAAGCCCAGTGTTGGAGGCGCTGCCTGAGTTGCTCGTAGTATTTTTTATTCCTAAAACGTGGTTTCATCTCCAAGATGAAAAGCTTGGCTGTGAAAAGCTTGACTGTGAACATCACCAACTGATACTGGAGCCCAACAACTCTTTGGGGACCATTTGGGGACATGGGTGGCAACATCTGACCCACTGATGAGGAATGTGAGGGCACCACTTGCTGGGAGGTGGCCTGGAGTGACTTGGGGACCTCAGGGAATGGAGGAGCTGCCAAATCCCCTGGGAATCCAGACCACTCTTCCCTAAGCTGGGGGTTTGATGGCTGCTGCAAGGACACTCAGGAGGGGAAGCTCGTGGCCCTGTGTCCTCCAGGTGTGACACTCATCTCCCATCTGTGCCCTTGGGCAGGGCCCTGGAGCCTCTTTGGAGGATGCTCTGTGGATCTTCCCCTTTCCCAGCTCTGCCTGGGCTCTGAGCTGCCTCTGGCAGCCAAATCTGACCCAAGGTGGAGGCAGGAGAGGACATCAGTGCAGGGAACAGCTGTGCCTGGGGCCCATCTCTGACCAGGGTGTGAACACTCTGAAACCACAAAGCTCAGAGCAGTCACCCTCTGAGGCGCCCAGTTCCTGCTCTGGGAGGCCCATCTTGGTGCCAGGATGGGGCTGGGGGACAGGACAGCACTTTTTGCAGCCAGGCAGGTGCTCCCCCCGAGCATCCTCCATCCAGCTCAGCCCATCCACGGGCAGAAGGGACACAGCATTCCCACAAAGCTGGGCACTGGGGACAAAATGTCCCCTGCAGCGAGGACAAGCTCAAGAGCGGCTGAGGCAGCAATTTGGGAGCCCTTTTTGGGCTTCCCTACCCTGGGCCCCCCATCCCTCCCTCTCCACAGCAAGTGGAGGGTGCTGAGAGCACCCCAGGACCAACTCATGGGAGCCTTTGCTCCGACAGCACCTTCCCCTGGGCCCCAGGACGCTCGTTACCTCCTTCCTTCCTCCCTTCCTTCCTCCCAGCCCTGGGTCAGGGCAGCACTCTCATCACAGGGGCAGGATCTCTTCCTGAAAAGGGATTTTCTTCCTGCCTGCTGCTTCTTCCCGCCCCTTTCCCAGCTGGGATCTCTGCCTGGCACGTGGTGCACCACCCTGGCCCCCCCGTGCTTTGCTGGGATCGGGGCTGTGGGGTGGGATGGGGCCTTGTAAACAGCACTGTTATTGCTGGATCCTTGCTCTGGGGAAGGAGCCAAACGTGAGTAATGGAGGGGAGGGGAGGGATGCCAGCACATCCCTCCTTCCCAGCCACGCTGCTGTGCCAGCCAGGCACCAGGGAGCAGGACAGGGATGCACAGGCAGCCCTCACTGCCAGCTCCTGCCCGTGGCAAGGGCAATTCCTGGTTCACTTGTTTGCTGTGTGGGTGACTGAATCTAGGTGGGCTTTGCCCAGCTCAGGTACCCAGTTACCCTCCATCCCCCCTTTCCCAGCCTGGAGCTGCCCTGCACCCCCTTTGCCCCTGGAGAGTGACCAAGGGCAGGCAGGACCCCAAATTCAAGGCCCTTCTGGGGCTCCCCTGAGGCGGATGGTGCTGGGAAGGAGGTGGATGTGCAGTGGGAGGAATGGCTGCTCCCAGGTTTTCCAGCAGGACGGACAGACAGAGATGCTCACAGGCTTCTGTTTCATCCCTGCTGGCACCGGTGCTGGGCTTTACCCTGGGGGTGACTCCCACAGGAAGGGTCCCAAGACTGGCAGGGTGGCACCTTCAGCAATGGGACGCCCACGCCTCTGTTTTCTAATTTAGAAACATTTTTAATTGGGTTTTAATTGGGCATTTCCATCCCTGTCCTGAGACCGGGGGTGGGGTCAGAGCAAAACCCTCCGGGGATGGAATCCAGGGAGAAGCTTTGCACAGGGACATGGCACAGACTCTTTTCCTCAGGCTCAGCTGGGCATTCCCTGGCACATCCCTGCTCTGTGAGGGGTGATGGTTCCCACACCAGGGTCAAAGGGGACATTCAGGGTTTGGGGGGCACCTTACATCCCCCAAAACAGATGTTTAGGCAGTACATGTGTCTTGGCAGGAGGGCAAAGCTTAAAACCCCCTTCCTGCAACTCAGCCCCAAAGGTGGCATCCCCATCCCTCTGCCAGGGCCCCCTTGTGTTGCCTGAACCCCCACCCCATGGGGAGCAGCCCCGAGGGGTCCCTGAGGGGTCCCTGCTGTCCCAGCTGGTTGCATAAGCCCGGCAGCCGCGGGAGGTGAAATGGGATTGTGAGGGATTACAAGGAACAGGCTCAGGCTGCTTGATTCTTGTTTCTAAAAGGAGCTCTTAAGCTGCTGTTGTTTTCCTGGCACTTTGGATTAGGGCTGAGACATGTGGGGTGGCCCCCAGGCTCCCCAGAGGGACCCCCAGACCCACCAGCCTGGGCTCCATCTGTTCGTGCCAAGCATGAGAGGAAAACAGGGCTGAGGGGAGACTGCCCCTCCCTGGGTACCCCAAAACTACCCACATCCCCTCCCCACATCCCAGTTAAGGCACTGGGGGACTGGGGCTCACTCCCCATGTTCCCAGTTAAGGCACTAGGGGACTGGGGCTCACTCCCCATGTTCCCAGTTAAGGCACTGGGGGACTAAGGCTCACTCCCCATGTTCCCAGTTAAGGCACTGGGGGACTAAGGCTCACTCCCCATGTTCCCAGTTAAGGCACTGGGGGACTAGGGCTCACTCCCCATGTTCCCAGTTAAGGCACTGGGGGACTAAGGCTCACTCTCCACATCCCCAGTTAAGGTACTGGGGCTCATGGGTGGGGGGTTTTGGTGCCTCTGGCACAGCCCCCCCTGCTGCTGACGACCCCTGGGGTGCCCCAGGGTGGAAGCTGGGGTGCTCACCCTTCCCCATATTCCCTTTTCTTCCAGAGATTATGCACGATGTGATCCGGAAAGTGAAGAAGAAGGGGGAATGGAAGGTAAGCACCAAACCTGGGGGGGGGCAGGAGAGGAGGAGGAGGGTGGGAGGGAGGGAGCAGGTGCAGGCAGGGAGTTCCCCAGGGTGGGGAAGGGGTGGGGAAGGGCAGCCCATGCCATCCCCCCCACTCACAGCCCCTCTCCCCAGGTGCTGGTGGTGGACCAGCTCAGCATGCGGATGCTCTCCTCCTGCTGCAAGATGACAGACATCATGACAGAGGGCATAACCAGTGAGTACCAGCTCCCTGCAGCCCACAAACCTCCCTGTGGCAAGGGCAGAACCTCCTTCTGTACCAGAGGCATCTCCAGGCTGGCACAAGGCAAGAGGGCACAGCCCCCACCCAGCCCTACCCCGCTTGGGATGGAGCCACCACACCTCCCATGGCTCGTGGGCAGCTCTTGGTGCCAGGCTGGTGTTCCACAGGTCCCTCCTTGCCTGCTGGGGCTGGAGCAGCCAGAACACCCTGTCTCCTGGCAGGGCCTCAATCCAAGGAGGAGACCAGGTGGTGTTTTATGTCAGCCCTGTAAATAAATAGCTCCCTGCAACACTCAGAAAGGAGAAGGAAACGCCAGACTGGGCACTGGGAGGTGTTGGGGGCCCAGCTTGGGTAGAGCCACAGCATCACCCCCAGGTGGTTTGCCCTGGCAGGGAATGTGAGGATAAACCAAGGGAACAGCAGCATGGGAGCACAGACAGATCAGTGGCCCCTGGGACCTGGCCAGGTGCCCACACACACAGCAGGGACCACGGAGCTGGGATGGGGTGGGTGCATCTCCTGAGTGGGCAGGGATGAGTGCCAGGGCGTGTTTTGGACATGGAGGGGTTGGCAGGGCTGGCCCCGTGCTGCCATGGGATATCCAACAACTCCCACATCCCCTGGGCTGCCATGGGATATCCAACAACCCTGACATCCCCTGGGCTGCCATGAGATATCCAACAACTCCCACATCCCCTGGGGTACCATGGGATATCCAACAACCCTGACATCCCCTGGGCTGCCATGGGATATCCAACAACCTCCACATCCCCTGGGCTGCCATGGGATATCCAACAACTCCCACATCCCCTGGGCTGCCATGGGATATCCAACAACTCCCACATCCCCTGTGCTGCCATGGGATATCCAACAACCCTGACATCCCCTGGGCTGCCATGGGATATCCAACAACTCCCACATCCCCTGGGCTGCCATGGGATATCCAACAACCCTGACATCCCCTGGGCTGCCATGGGATATCCAACAACTCCCACATCCCCTGGGCTGCCATGAGATATCCAACAACTCCCACATCCCCTGGGCTGCCATGGGATATCCAACAACTCCCACATCCCCTGTGCTGCCATGGGATATCCAACAACCCCGATATCCCCTGGGCTGCCATGGGATATCCAACAACTCCCACATTCCCTGTGCTGCCATGGGATATCCAACAACTCCCACATCCCCTGGGCTACCATGGGATATCCAACAACTCCCACATCCCCTGTGCTGCCATGGGATATCCAACAACCCCCACATCCCCTGTGCTGCCATGGGATATCCAACAACCCTGACATCCTCTGTGCTACCATGGGATATCCAACAACTCCCACATGCTCTGTGCTGCCATGGGATATCCAACAACCCTGACATCCTCTGTGCTACCATGGGATATCCAACAACTCCCACATCCCCTGTGCTGCCATGGGATATCCAACAACCCTGACATCCCCTGGGCTGCCATGGGATATCCAACAACCTCCACATCCCCTGTGCTGCCATGGGATATCCAACAACCCCCCATCCCCTGTGCTGCTGGGGGGTATCCAACAACCATGGGGTATCCAAGTGCCCCTGCCCACACTGATCCCTGCCACGATCCCTGTTTTTCCCCCCAGTTGTGGAAGACATCAACAAGCGCCGGGAGCCGCTGCCCAGCCTGGAGGCCGTTTATCTCATCACCCCCTCGGAGAAGGTGAGGACACGGGGGGGGGGTGCCCGGAATTTGGCAAGGATGAGGCGGTGGGATGTCCGTGCTGGGATGGGCAGCTGTGCCCACAGGAAGCATCCTGGCTCCAGCGAGGCCGGTGGTACCTCTGGGACAGTGGGATGGAGGTGCAGAGCTCCCCCTGTGCCAGGAGGGAGGACGCTGGGTGATGCTGCTGAGATGCCCATGGTGCCACCCTGCCCAGCCCAGCTGATCCCTCTCTCTTCCAGTCCATCCACTCCCTCATCAACGACTTCAAGGATCCCCCCACCTCCAAGTACAGAGCTGCCCACGTCTTCTTCACTGACTGTGAGTACCCAGAGCAGGGGGAAATTCATTAACGGGGTGCAAGAAAGCAGGGAGGGAGGGAGGAGGATGGAGGGACAGAGGATGGAGGGAGGGAGGATGGAGGGAGGGAGGGAGGATGGAGGGGAGGAGGATGGAGGGAGGGAAGAAGGATAGAGGGAGGGAGGGTGGGGGGATGAAGGGAGGGAGAATGGAGGGAGGCAGGATGGAGGGAGAATGGAGGGAGAGAGGATGGAGGGAAGGAGAATGGAGGGAAGGAGGATGGAGGGAGGGAGGATGGAGGGATGGAGGATGAAGGGAGGGAGAATGGAGGGAAGGAGGATGGAGGGAGGGAGGGAGGGTGGGGGGATGAAGGGAGAGAGGATGGAGGGATGGAGGATGAAGGGAGGGAGAATGGAGGGAGGGAGGATGGAGGGAAGGAGGATGGAGGGAGGGAGGATGGAGGGAGGGAGGATGGAGGAGGGAGGAGGGAGGGATGCTGAGCTTTACCCTCCTCCTCCTCCCCTCCCAGCCTGTCCCGACGCCCTGTTCAACGAGCTGGTGAAGTCCCGCGCCGCCAAGGTCATCAAAACCCTGACGGAGATCAACATTGCCTTCCTCCCCTCCGAGTCCCAGGTGAGGCCGGGCTGGGCACTGTCCCCACTGGGGTGCTGCAGGGGATGGCACTGCCAGGGGATGCTCTGGGTCCTTCCCCAGCCCGTGGGGGTTTGTGTAACAGCTCTGCACCCCGGGCTGGCTCCCCGGCCCCGCTCGACCCTTCCTCCCTGTCTCCTGTGATTACTTCCCGGGCTGATCCGCCCCCGGGGATTTGGCTGGTGCCCTGCCTTGGCCCCGTGCCAGCAGCTGCTGTTGGCCAGCTCTGCCTCCCCACCAGCCAAGGGCACCAGGGAGCTGGCCCTGTGCCATGTGCCCAGCTGGGCACACGGGGGTTCAGGGGGACAGTGGTGCCAGACCCGCTCGGTGCCATCAGCCCTTCAATCCTCAGCATTTCTGGGCAGTGGCATCTCTTGGCATCTCCATGTGCAGCCAAATTGGCTTCTGGTCCTTACTGGGGGCACAACTGGGGAGCATTGTGTCCCTGCCACCCCTGGGTCTCTGATTCCCTGCCTGGGAGCAGGTGACTGCTATGGGTAGGGGGTCTCCTGCCCTGCTCTGCTTACATGGAGCTGGAGCTGGGGTCCAGGGAGCCCATCAGGGTAGGGACTGTACCATGGAGCTGGAGCTGGGAAAGGCATCAGGGCCCAGAGCTGGCAGCTGAAAGCCTGAGGGATGCCCTGAGCAACACTGAGCTCTGGCTGCCCTGTCTCAGGCTCAGCTGGGACCTTTATCTGGGCATGAATCTGGTTCCCAAACCCACCCAGGGCTGCTCTCCTCCAGACACCCCCTCTGACCTCCCTCCCACCCCCCCAGGTTTACTCCCTGGATTCAGCTGACTCCTTCCAGAGCTTTTACAGCCCCCACAAGGCGCAGATGAAGAACCCGATCCTGGAGCGGCTGGCGGAGCAGATCGCCACGCTCTGTGCCACGCTCAAGGAGTACCCAGCCGTGCGGTACCGGGGGTAAGGGCGGCGTGGGGGCACCCCTGGGACCTGCCCCGCTGCCCCAGCAGCACCAGAGAGCCGGGGGTGTGCCCAGCACGGGGCAGGGGTGAGGCCGTGCTGTGCCCGGTGCTGCTCCGGGCGTGGGGGTGGTGGGACGGACAGACAGACGTCTGTGCTCAGGGTGAACAGGCTCAGAGTTGATGCTCTGCAGAGCTGGGGGTGTTGGGACTTAAGTGGTGCCACTGCAAAGTGGAGCTCAGCAGGGAGAGGTGGGAATGGGCAACCAAACCTGCTCAGGTCTCTCTCCCATGAGCCAAGGGAAGGCGACGTCGCCTCCCCATGCCATGCCCTGGGGAGCTGACCTGTGCCCCTGCCTCCCCCAGGGATTACAAGGACAATGCCATGCTGGCACAGCTCATCCAGGACAAGCTGGATGCCTACAAGGCTGATGACCCCACCATGGGCGAGGTGAGTGGGGATGGTGCCCCAGGGGAGGGTGTGGGGGTGATGCTTCGCTCCTGAAGTCCCGCTGGAGCTCTGCCCCAGGGCAGTCACAGACCCCGAGCAGGGACCCCAGAACAGCTTCTCCTGAGGACCTGTGGGGCTGGTGGAACCCTCAGCCTCAGTGTTGACAGCTCCCCTGGCTCCACAGGGTCCAGACAAGGCTCGCTCCCAGCTCCTCATCCTGGACCGTGGCTTCGATCCCGCTTCCCCGGTGCTGCACGAGCTGACCTTCCAGGCCATGAGCTACGACCTGCTGCCCATCGAGAACGATGTCTACAAGTGAGTGCAGCACTGCCATCCCCTCCACCCCCGTGGGCCCCCCTAGTCCAAACCCTCCAGCAGGGGTTGGAAGCTCAGCATCCCTCCATCCATCACGAGTCATCCGTTGGGAGCCACCGGTCCTGCCTGCAGTCTGGCATGGGGGATGGGCAGGACTGGGGCAAAAGGGGCTTTTCCAGCCGTCAGCCCTTGGCCCCTTCCCAGCATTTAGTAGGTGAAGGGGTACAAGAAGGTGAGAGTTGAAATAACTTCACCTTGCTGCTGGCAGAGCCAGGAAGAGCCCCAGTGTCTCCCAGGTCCCCCCATGTCCCCCCATTTCCCTAAGCCCAGGCAGTGAGGGGGCTGTGTACCCCCTCAGCCCCATTCCCACCATGACACTCCCTCCCTTTTCCCAGGTATGAGACAAGTGGCATTGGAGAGGCCCGGATTAAGGAGGTTCTCCTGGATGAGGATGACGACCTGTGGGTCACCCTGCGCCACAAACACATCGCTGAGGTGTCCCAGTGAGTGTCCCCTTGGGCTGTTTGCCATCTGGGTGGGACATTGGCTTGGCATTGCCACCCACCCCTCTGTGAGGGTCCCCTCCCTGCTCACAGCTCTGCCCTCCTCCTCTCCCCAGGGAGGTGACCCGGTCCCTGAAGGAGTTTTCTTCAAGCAAGAGGATGAACACGGGTGATAAGGTGACCTGGCTGCATCTGCCAAGCCAGGGATGGGCATCCAGGGGCCTCAGCCATGGGCTGGCACGTGGTGGAGTCTCCTGGGGGCACCCAGTGGGCATCTCTGCAAAGGGACAAGGGTGCTCAGGTCTCTGGTGGGGGGAGATGGCTGTGGGGTCTCAGCCCTACACCCAGGGCTGGGGAAATGGGGTTCCTTGGGAGGGCACCACACCACAGGGATCAGTTTGCCCCCAGGACAAGGTCCGTGTACCCCCACAGCAGCTGCCTGTGTCCCCAGCCTGTTCCCTTGCAGAGCCCCTGAGCTGGTGGCAGTGAGGGGACCCTGGTGGAAATAGGATGTTGAAGTGACCAGGAGCTGAAAGGACCATCTCAGCCCCAGCCAGGCACAGGGTGGGCCCAGGGGAAGGTCCTTGGGGGATTTGTCCCCCTGACACTGCAGTTCACAGAGCTGCAGGACCCCCCCCCGCCCCTCAGCTGCAGCCGAGGAGACCTGGCAGTGACACATCAGGTGTCACCAAACCCCCGTGAGGGGATCACATGGGCACAGAAGTCCTTGGTGGGGTCATCCCCTCTCTGCCCACGGCCCCCGGGTCCCCAAGGGAGAGTGACCACGTCCCCTTCCCTCACAGACCACCATGAGAGACCTGTCCCAGATGCTGAAGAAGATGCCACAGTACCAAAAGGAGCTCAGCAAGGTATGAGGAGGGGGGATTGTGTTTGGTGACTGGGCCCACCCGGGGAGCAGGAGGTGGCAGCACTCCCTGGAGTGTCCCTGGCCATGGGTGGTGGCACAGGGACCTTTGGCTGCTGCCAGCACTGCAAGGGTGGCCCCTCGTGTCTCCCCAGTACTCCACCCACCTGCACCTGGCTGAGGACTGCATGAAGCACTACCAGGGCACTGTGGACAAGCTCTGCAGAGTCGAGCAGGTACCAAACCAGCCCCCCCAGCCCCACATCCCCCCTGGCAGCACCGTCCTGGCAGGGTGGAGGGGGGACGAGCACGTGTGTTCTCTGCAGGACCTGGCCATGGGCACTGATGCCGAGGGTGAGAAGATCAAGGACCCCATGAGGGCCATCGTGCCCATCCTGCTGGATGGGAATGTCAGCACCTATGACAAGATCCGCATCATCCTGCTCTACATCTTCCTGAAGAACGGTGAGGACACCTGGGCAGGGCTGGGTGCTGGCAGCTCCCCAGGTTTGGCCAGGATAAGCCACATGGAAAAACCCAGCCCTGCCTCCCTGAGCAGCACCAGGCTGGGTGTCCTAAGGCAGCAGTGGAAGGGCTGTACCCCATGGAGGGGCTGTATCCCCATGGAAGGGCTGTATCCCCGTGGAGGGACTGTATCCCCGTGGAGGGGCTGTATCCCCGTGGAGGGACTGTACCCCATGGAGGGGCTGTATCCCCATGGAGGGGCTGTACCCCATGGAGGGGCTGTATCCCCGTGGAGAGGCTGTACCCCATGGAGGGGCTGTATCCCCATGGAAGGGCTGTATCCCCATGGAGGGACTGTACCCCATGGAAGGGCTGTATCCCCATGGAGGGACTGTACCCCATGGAAGGGCTGTATCCCCATGGAGGGACTGTACCCCATGGAAGGGCTGTATCCCCATGGAAGGGCTGTACCCCATGGAAGGGCTGTACCCCATGGAGGGGCTGTACCCCCATGGAAGGGCTGTACCCCATGGAGGGGCTGTACCCCCATGGAAGGGCTGTACCCCATGGAGGGGCTGTATCCCCATGGAAGGGCTGTACCCCAGGGAGGGGCTGTACCCCATGGAGAGGCTGTACCCCAGGGAGGGGCTGTACCCCATGGAAGGGCTGTACCCCAGGGAGGGGCTGTACCCCAGGGAGGGGCTGTACCCCAGGGAGGGGCTGTATCCCTGTGGAAGGCATTCCTCAGGACACCATGTCCCCGTTGCACTTGCAGGTATCACCGAGGAGAACCTGAACAAGCTGATCCAGCACGCCCAGATCCCAGCAGAGGACAGCGAGATCATCACCAACATGGCCCACCTCGGGGTGCCCATCATCACAGACGTGAGTGTGCCCGCTGTGTGCTCCTGCTGCCCTCTGGGAGGGAGGGAGGACCCTGCCTCTGTTCTGGGAGCCACAACCCCCCCCGGGATGCCCCTGGCACCCCTCTGGGTGGTCCCCCTGCCGCAGCCCCCGTGTCTCAGGGTGTCCCTGTGCTCCCTGTGCCCAGTCCACCCTGCGCCGCCGGAGCAAGCCCGAGCGGAAGGAGCGGATCAGCGAGCAGACCTACCAGCTCTCCCGATGGACCCCTGTGATCAAGGACATCATGGAGGTGAGCCAGCAGGGACAGGGGCTGAGGGGGCAGAGCAGGGACCCCAGATCCACCCAGGAAGGGACCTGCGGAGAGCTGGCTGCTCTTAGCCAAACCATGACACCTCTCCCCGGCACGGGCCCTCCAGGCTGGGATTGGAATATTCTGGGGGGCTTTCCTGGCCTCCATGAGCATGCTGGCCCCAGGTAGGATGTATGGCTTGCATGGCATCCCTGCAGCACAAAATGCAGTAACAGACTGGTTGGTTGTGTGTGTGTGCCACCTGTGTGTGCCACCGTGGGCATGGCTGGGTGGCCTCATCACAGCCTTGCCCATGTCCCAGCTGACCCAGGGGACAGGGATGGCTCTGCACAGCTGTGCCTGTACCCACAGGAGCTATCCCAGGAGCTCTGTGCTCGGGTAGCCCTGAGCAAAGCCAAAAAGTGAGGTTTTTCCAGACATTACCTTTTTCCTGACCTGCTCCCTCCCTCCCACCCCTCAAATCAGGGTGTCCTCCTTGGTTCTGTGCAGAGCACAGCACCAAAACCAGTCCCCAACACAGACATTTCACCCACTCAGACAGACAGACAGACCCTGGAGCCACATTTTGGGGAGGGGGATATCAGTGCTGCCTCTGCTCCCAGGCACTGAGACAAGCAGAGCCTCAGCTCCTTTGATTCCCAAAACCACAGAGCTTATGCTTTCCTTTTTCACAAACTCCCTGGGGGTGGCTTCATACCCAGGACACCCCTAAACCTCATCCCCAGGGCCAGAGGGGCCTGCCCAGGGCAGCAGCTCCTCACCAAGGTCTCATGGGTGGCATTAACCCCCCAGCACTGGTGAAGCAGCAGGGAGGGGATCACAGGGGAGACACCTCCAGCTCAGCTCATGCCCCTGAGCTTCCCAGGAGGGGAATCCTGGGCACAGCCCTCCTGAGGGGCTCTGGGGCCAGAGGCTGTGCCTGGCTCCTCACTGACCCTGAGTCCATGGCTGTCTGCCCACAGGATGCCATCGATGACAAGCTGGACACCAAGCACTACCCGTACATCTCCACCCGCTCCTCCGCCTCCTTCAGCACCACTGCCGTCAGGTGGGTCCCATCATCCTCCCCTGGGCATCCTCACCTGGATCAGGGTCCCCCCGTCCTCCCCTGGGCATCCTCACCAGGATCACCATCAGCATCCATCCCTCCTGGCCCCAGGGGCTGGATCCAGCAGCAGGTCTGTGAGCTGCTCTGTGCTCATTTGGGCATCCAGTAGCTCAGTTTTCCCTCAGGCATCCCATTCCTCAGTTTCCCTTCAGGAAAACTGGAATCCCATGCCTCCATTTCCCTTCAGGCGTCTCGTGCCTCAGTTTCCCTCCAGACAACCTGTGCCTCCGTTTCCCTTTAGGAGTCCTATGTCTCAGATTCCCTCCAGACATCCTGTTCTCCATTTTCCCTCCAAACATCTCCATACCTGAGTTTCCCTCTAGCTTCCCTCAGTCATCCCATGCCTCAGTTTCCCTTCGGTCATCCCATACCTCCATTCCCCCCAGGCATCCCGTGTGTCCATTTCCATTCAGGCATCCCATGCCTCAGCTTCCCTTCAGACATCCCATTCCTTGTTTTCCCTCCAGCCATCCCATGCCTGATTTCCCCTTCAGGCATCCTGTATCTCAGTTTCCCTCCAGACATCCCATTCCTCAATTTCCCTGCAGACATCCCATTCCTCAATTTCCTTCCAGACATCCCATTCCTCAATTTCCCTGCAGACATCCCATTCCTCAATTTCCCTCCAGCCATCCCGTTCCTCAATTTCCCTGCAGACATCCCATTCCTCAATTTCCTTGCAGCCATCCCATTCCTTGTTTTCCCTCCAGACATCCCATGTCTGATTTTCCCTTCAGTCATCCTGTCTCTCTGTTTCCCTCCAGACATCCTATTCCTCAGTTTCCCTCCAGACATCCCATTTCTCAGCTTCCCTGCAGACATCCCATTCCACAGCTTTCCTCCAACCATCCCATTCCTCCATTTCCCTCCAGACATCCCATTCCTTGTTTTCCCTCCAGCCATCCCATGCCTCACTTTCCCATCCCGTAACCTCGAGCCAAGCTCACTGCGCTCCTCCTGCCCCACCTGGGAGCAAACCAGCACATTCTTTAGCCAAGAGGTGCTGCCTCGTGCCCTCCTTCACCCTCCTCTTCCTCCCTCAGTGCCCGCTACGGCCACTGGCACAAGAACAAGGCTCCAGGCGAGTACCGCAGCGGGCCCCGCCTCATCATCTTCATCCTGGGCGGGGTGAGCATGAACGAGATGCGCTGCGCCTACGAGGTGACACAAGCCAGCGGCAAGTGGGAGGTGCTAATAGGTGAGTGGGGACCCCCCGGGCCCACCCCTGGGTGCTGCCTGTGCTCATCCCACGCTCGCATCCCGCCAGTTCCCGGCTCCAGACGTCTGCGGGAGCGGGGACTCGCCGGAAGGGTTTTCTCCTCGTCGCTCCCATCCGGGTTGCGCCACTCCACCCATCCTCATCTGGGCTCCCTGTTTTTTCGTCTCTCTCTGGTTGGTTTGGCCTG